CTCACCGCCACGCTCCCACGTCCCCTTCATTCTTTTATTCAAAAGAAGAACCACTCCCTGTTGTTTGGCAGTCTCCTGCCCCGAGTAGAGGACTGTCCACCCGTCATGGTGGCAGGAGCCAGACCCAGTCCACCTGAATACCACAGAGATCCAGGCGGTACCGGACCAGCTCCCGACAGAGGAGTGGCAGCCTCTCCCCCGGGGCCTCCGGCACAAGCTAATTAATTATATATTTAATTGAAGGTTACCAGCCCTTCGCACCCGTCCAGAGCCCCCATTTGGTCGCTGTGGAGGTTTCAAACGCCATGAGGGGAAAGGCCAATCTGAATTGGCCCTCACCACACACACAGGTACAAAGACAAAGACACCCCGTATAGCCTCGACTGACTTTTGGGGCAAGTGCTGTTAGCGAGTAGCAGCACCTATGAAGGCCGGCACAGTGGCACACGAAGGGGTGGGTGGCCAGCACCAACGCCAGGTCCATATATAGAAATACACACGCAGAAACAGTGTGTGTAGTGTGTGTACTGTGCGTACTGTGTGTGTGTACTGTCAGTTTAATATGTAGGCAGATGTCACGAGCAGATGTTACGAGTAGAAATCACAACGTCACTAGACGTCACGAGTCACGAGTAGACGTCACGACGTCACTAGACATCACGAGTTGACGTCACGAGGCGACGTCACGAGCTGACGTCACGAGGCAACGTCACGAGTCACGAGGCGACGTCACGAGTTGACGTCACTAGACGTCACGAGTCACGAGTAGACGTCACGAGTAGACGTCACTAAACGTCACGAGTTGACGTCACGAGACGACGTCACGAGTCACGAGGCGACGTCACGAGTTGACGTCACTAGACGTCACGAGTCACGAGGCGACGTCACGAGTTGACGTCACGAGACGACGTCACGAGTCACGAGGCGACGTCACGAGGCGACGTCATGACGCTACGAGTGACGAGTAGACGTCACGACGTCACTAGACGTCACGAGTCACGAGTAGACGTCACGAGTTGACGTCACGAGGCGACGTCACGAGTCACGAGGCGATGTCACGAGTTGACGTCACTAGACGTCACGAGTAGACGTCACGAGTAGACGTCATGACGTCACGAGTCACGAGTAGACGTCACGTGGCGACGTCACGAGTCACGAGTGGACGTCACGAGTCACGAGTAGACGTCACGAGTAGACGTCATGACGTCACGAGTAGATTTGTCCTGGCACACGGCAGACCGGACATCATTCCAGTGGCATTGACCACCACGGCCGCCACTGGAATCGGCCGCGATGGATACGAAACGACCGCCTCGTGCCGCTCATTTTATATATTAAAAATATAAAAATATATAATGAAAGCCCCTTCATTTGTGACCAATTCCTCAACGGTAGCTCATGCATTTTTAAAACTAATGTCTGCGGTGGGGGTTTTATTCTTCTGCTGCTTCCGCTGCATGCATTTGAGGAGCGCTCTTTCAAGGGCTCAATAATGGATGGAAGTGCATTAAGCCTCTCTGAATGAGCCGCGGATATTCTCTGCAGGCTGAATGGGGGATAGCGGTGTGTGTGGTGTGTGGTGTGTGTGTGGTATCTGTGTGTGGTGTGTGTGTGTGGTGTGTGTGGTGTGTGTGTGTGGTGTGTGTGTGGTGTGTGTGTGGTATCTGTGTGTGGTGTGTGTGTGTGGTGTCTGTGTGTGGTGTGTGTGTGGTATCTGTGTGTGGTGTGTGTGTGTGGTGTGTGTGTGTGGTGTGTGTGCGGTGGTGTGTGTGTGTGGTGTCTGTGTGTGGTGTGTGTGTGGTGTGTGGTGTGTGTGTAGTGTGTGTGTGGTGTCTGTGTGTGGTGTGTGTGTGGTGTGCGTGTGTGGTGTGTGTGTAGTGTGTGTGTGGTGTGTGTGTGTGGTGTGTGTGTTTGGTGTGGTGGTGTGCGTGTGTGGTGTGTGTGTGTGGTGTGTTTGGTGTGTGTGTGGTGTGTGTGTTTGGTGTGTGTGTTGTGTGTGTGGTCTCTGCGGGAGTCTAAGGGTCTCTGTGTGAGTCTATGGGTCTCTGTGTGAGTCTATGGGTCTCCGTGTGAGTCTATGGGTCTCTGTGTGAGTCTATGGGTCTCTGTGTGAGTCTATGGGTCTCCGTGTGAGTCTATGGGTCTCTGTGTGAGTCTATGGGTCTCTGTGTGAGTCTGTGGGTCTGTGTGAGTCTATGGGTCTCTGTGTGAGTCTGTGGTCCTCTGTGTGAGTCTATGTATGTACAGTACATATGTTGAATTTTTTTCGCACCGTACGTAACCAACTGTATTAATCGCAGGGGCGAATGCATTTGTATGCCAATTTCTCTTACTCATGGGTGCGTGTGTATGTGCGTGCGTGTGTGTATATGTGACCCGTGGCACCTAGGTCTGCCCCGTGACCTCCTACCAGCGGGCGTTCGACACTTCACGTGGCCTCAAGGTGCACATGGCCTGGCACAAGCGTCGTGGTGACGTCACCGCCACTTCGTGGCGAATGGCGGTTGTTGTTGTTGTGTATGTGCGTGTGTGTATCTGGATTTTAAAGGTACGCTTTATCATTCAAGTTGCTCGTGTCCTGTGCTCTTACTTCGGCAGCTAATGGTGTTTAATATGTGAGGTGTATGTGGCATGTGTTTTGTTCTTATGGGGAGCGGTGGCGCAGTGGTTAGCGCACTGCGCTATGAACCTAGCGCCCCAGGTTCCATTCCCGCTCACGGCCAACACAACCGTGACGATTATCTGAACCGGTCCTGGGCCTCCCCTAGGTAGACTCAGCCTCAAATTAGTACCTGGTGCGGTGTGTAAACATCGCAACTGGGGAGACAAAGGCGGCCGGGCGTGGTGCTGGCCACCCACCCCCTCGTGTGCCACGCGGGGCCTTCATAGGTGCTCCTCGCTAACAGCACTTGCCCCAACAGTGTGATGAAGGCTACACGGGGAGCTTTGTCCTTGCGTGCGTGTGTATTTTGGTGCATCTGTGTAACGGATACGTTTTGAATTTAATTGTATTGTTTGCAACATTGTCCCCTCCTAGAAGACAGTCACGACACAGAGGCTTTCGTGGGTAAATTATGCAGAATATTAATAGTCTATACATTGTATTCGACTACTCTGAGGCAGGGCCATTGCCCGAAACGTCGCCTATTGTATATTTGTCCTATTAAGGCCCCACAGAGTGCCGTTGACAAATGTGTTGCGTCTTTGTTTAATTTAAAGTCGAACATTTTCCGTGCTTTATTTACTTGGGCCTCTTTAAATATTCGGGGCCTCTCTCCCACATCTCACCACTCGGGGTCAAGCCAAGCTGACCGCGGATTACAGGAGTCGCGGATTACTGGAGTCGCGGATTACAGGAGTCGCGGATTACAGGAGTAGCGGATTACAGGAGTAGTGGATTACTGGAGTGGCGGAATACAGGAGTCGCGGATTACAGGAGTCGCGGATTACAGGAGTCGCGGATTACTGGAGTCGCGGATTACATGAGTCGCGGATTACATGAGTTGCGGATTACTGCAGTAGCGGATTACAGGAGTCGCGGATTACAGGAGTCGCGGATTAGATGAGTCGCGGATTACAGGAGTCGCGGATTACATGAGTTGCGGATTACTGGAGTAGCGGATTACAGGAGTCGCGGATTACAGGAGTCGCGGATTAGATGAGTCGCGGATTACAGGAGTCGCGGATTACAGGAGTAGCGGATTACTGGAGTCGCGGATTACAGGAGTCGCGGATTACTGGAGTCGCGGATTACATGAGTCGCGGATTACTGGAGTCGCGGATTACTGGAGTCGCGGATTACTGGAGTCGCGGATTACTGGAGTCGCGGATTACATGAGTCGCGGATTACTGGAGTCGCGGATTACAGGAGTCGCGGATTACTGGAGTCGCGGATTACAGGAGTCGCGGATTACTGGAGTCGCGGATTACAGGAGTCGCGGATTACTGGAGTCGCGGATTACTGGAGTCGCGGATTACTGGAGTCGCGGATCACAGGAGTCGCGGATTACAGGAGTCACGGATTACTGGAGTCGCGGAATACAGGAGTCGCGGATTACAGGAGTCGCGGATTACTGGAGTCGCGGATTACAGGAGTCGCGGATTACAGGAGTCGCGGATTACTGGAGTCGCGGATTACAGGAGTCGCGGATTACAGGAGTCGCGGATTACTGGGGTCGCGGATTACTGGAGTCGCGGATTACTGGAGTCGCGGATTACTGGAGTCGCGGATTACAGGAGTCGCGGATTACAGGAGTCGCGGATTACTGGAGTCGCGGATTACTGGAGTCGCGGATTACAGGAGTTCTGTTGTCGGGTAATCGGATCGATTATCGGTAGACCAATCGATTACTCAAAATGATGGATAGCTCAGCTCTGGTGTCTAGATGTAAAGAATGCTGCGTCACGAATAATTAACATTAACCTCACCCAATGTATTGTATCAGACGACTTATACACATTAATATTGTAATATTGTTGCTATGAATGTTAATGTGTGATGACGTCTTGCATATATTAATAATTTCCAACGTATAAGTGTCGTGAGAATTATTTTATTATGTTTAATTTTTATTATTTTATTACTTCCATTCTAACGCGACTTCACCGAAAGAACCAAGAAGATGAATCCCTGCACTCACGAACGCTTTAAATCGAATTTAATTGTCAGAATCGTTACATATTCAGTGACGTCATAATTATTTAAATGAGACGTGCCTGACGTCACGACATCATAACATCCCCGCGCTGCCCCGCAATCAAATTCAACATTCACGCATAAATTAGCATATTTTATAATGACACGCCCCCTCATTAACATAAGTTATGCTGGCCTGATGACATCACGATAAAATTAGCATATTTTATAATGACACGCCCCCTCATTAACATAAGTTATGCTGGCCTGATGACATCACGCATAAATTAACATATTTATAATACCACGGCCCCTCATTAACATAAATTATCGTTGCGTCGTGACGTCAGGCGCAGGAGGGGTGAGGCGGCCCAGGCGCCCCAAGGCGAGTTCGAAGCAGTCGTCGCGATGTGGCCACGTCGGCTCAAAGCAGCGATGGAGCTCGCCAACAGGCCGACAGATTTAGCGCCATTGCGTTAACGAACATCTACGAGACACAGGGACGTGGCGGCGGCGGTGGCGGGGCGGCGGCGGCGGCGGCCAGGGAAGGGAAAGACGAAAGTTGGACCGACCGCAGTGCGGCACTCCGCCGGCGGAGGGGCACCTCGCCCGGCGCCCTGATTCAGGCAAGGCCCTAGGGGCCCGAACGCAGCTAGGCCGCGAGGGCGGTCCAAAAAAAAAAAAAATTTTTGGACACAAATTTCTTTGCGTTTTGAGGCGATTGAACAAAAATAACGCAGACTCAGTCGTGAGCATTCGTCGCCAACAACTGAGAGCAAGCCCGGCGCGATGGAGTCGGCGAAGGTGAAGCTTCCTCGTCGCAAATGGGAGGTGTTCCCGGGAAGAAACAGATTTTGCTGCAATGGGCGCATCATGATGGCAAGGCAGTCGGGCGTTTTCTACCTGACTCTGGCTCTCATCACCATCACCAGCGGCCTCTTCTTCGCCTTTGAGTAAGTATTCATTCATTATAACCAGCGGCATCGGCATCATCGGTAGCAACATCATCGGTAGCAGGAGTCTTTCATCAGCAAGAATCACTTAAAATCACAGTCGTCATTGGCATCACGAGTCGCCCACTTATTTTCGCGTGATGCTCTTCATCATCATCGGCAGCAGCAGCAGCATCATTAGCCTGCTCATCATCATCATCGGCGGCAGCAGCAGCATCATCAGCGGTGGTGTCACTGTGATCATTGTAATCATCATCATCTTTGTCATCAGCTTTCACTTGCTGTCAGCATCATCAGCCTGCTCTTCATCATGATCGGCAGCAGCAGCATCATCAGCGGCGGTGTCACTGTGATCATTGTAATCATCATCATCATCTTTGTCATCAGCTTTCACTTGCTGTCAGCATCATCAGCCTGAACATCATGAGATGTGTCATTCTACACGTGCATGAATGATCGTTATGATTTCCATAGACTCGTAAGCAGCAGCAGGATTTTAAATCGGCAGCAGCACCAATCGACGCCACTCGTCACCAGCTTGATCGTAGTATGCTTCGTTCAACACGTTCATTGTGATTCGTGAACACCGTCATCCGCAACAGCAGCGGATGATGGTATCACCACCACCACTATCATCGTCGGCTGCGTCATCATAACTGTTGGTCATCATTGGTGGACATCGGTTTCATTGAGCAGAATTATCTTTAAGTGTCAGGTAACCATCAATCCCAATCATATTCACTGCCACCATCATCATCACCACCACGTTTTAATGGAATTGGTTGAATCATCCTCTGAGTCGATCGATCCAGAGAGGATTCCTGGATAAGGCCCATCACTATATCATCGGTATCAGTGTCACCATAACCATCTTCACTGCCTTCTTCATCATCACCACTACCACCACTACAACTGGATTCATTGCGTTATTGCTTATACTGCCCTACTCGGCACCAACTACTCTATCCATCATTATCATATACGTCTCTTAACCTTATCGTAATCATGGCTTTCACCAGTGTCTTCCTAATTTATCATCATCATCATCATAACTGTAACCACCATGGTAATCATAAACATCTTACGGTGCATCTTGTAAGAGTTTTTAAGGTTCTGTGCATTTTGTTCAATGTTTTAAGTTGCGTTATTAATCACAATTATCCACACATGCAACGCCTGGGGATTTTCAGCTCCCTACCAAACACATGCAGACGCTGTGACAGCAGTGATACCCCCCCCCCCCCCCACACGTTTGTGTGTTCAGTTTATTCCCCTCCGAATAGCACGGTTGTCTACGTACGGTGCGAAAGAAGTCCAAACTTACAGCACATAGAAAACAAGCGAATGGATGGGTGGGTGGGGGGCTATGGTGATGAGGGAAAATCGTCAACAGTGTTGCAGTAAGAACGCCAGGGAAGACACTGGATTGCAAAGTCCGTGACATTCATTGGGAGGCTGTTTGGGAGGCTGTCAATTATTGGCATGGATTTGAACGAGGTGGGAACGAGGTGGGAAAGAGCACTGAGAGCAAGCAAAGGACGAGGTGAGTTGTGGACTGTGGGAACAGCAGCAGAGGAGGAGAGCGAGACCTTCCAGTGAGCGGGAGATCAATTGATGGCAAGGGGTTTCCTTCTTAAGAAGCCTTGGTTGAACGGAGCATTGTGCCGATTGTGTTGTTGGTAATGGCGAGATGTTTTTTTCGGCGCGGGCTGGTAAGTCCATCAGCGGAGTGCTGCTTTAGAGTACTGTATTGTGCTGTTCATATTGGCGTTCAGGCCCTATCGTAGACATCTTACGACCAAAAACGACAGATCTCGGAATCTGATCAGCTTTGCGCCTGGTTGACACTTTGATGAGCAGAGCACGTTTGCACAAATAGGCAGTCATAGGCTTCTGAACGGCTAAGTGGTGGTGGGTAGCAGTGGGCAGTGCCGCAAAAATCCATTGTTGTACTCTACCTATATGCGCCCCCCCCTCCCCGTGTCTATGCTCCCCGCCTTCACCAACGCACGCTGAACTGCCTGGTGTAGTATGGTCGAATAACTTTGGGGAAACTCAGGCGTTGAATATTTGTGCAGTGAGGTGATCCGGAGGGGGCAGTACAGCAACGGATTATGGAATCTATCCGTTCCTGGCTTCTGTGTGTTCTCCTTTGCGTGTGCGTGTGTGTGCGAGTTGTCCCAAGGGTTCCTCAAGTTTCAACGCGCACGAAGCCAGATGCGTGTTCATCGAATTGGCCAAACAAGCCAGTGCAGAACCCTGCTTCAAAACAAAAACAACAACGGCATCGTTATTATCTTGATGATTCTTCTTGGTTCTTTCGGTAAAGTCACGTAGAAGGGTGACTTTACCGAAAGAACCAAGAAGAATCATCAAGATAATAACGATGATGAATCCCTGCAGTCACGAAAGCTTTAAATCGAAATTTAAATCTTGATGATTATTATAACTTTCTGACTCACCCCTACTGCGCATCTGTGAAAGATGTGGCTATTGACCGGAGCCACGGATGGATTATTGCATTGTAGTATTGCAAGAGATGGCAGATTGCGGTGGGGGGAGGTTGGAGGGAAGGAGGCTTTCATCCAGCAGTGGATTGACCATGCCTGATGATTATTTTTGGAGCCAGCGCTCTGGCTGCATGTACGTATGTTGAACTTCCTTCGCACCGTACATAGCCAAACGCGCTAATCGGATGTGCCGGAGGAAGGGAAACAAACTAAACGCAAGAGCAAGCGGTTTGAAAGAAATGAGTGTTTCAGTCTAGATGATGATTTAGAAGTGCACAGTTCCCAGTGGCTTCCTAATATCGGAAGGGAAGAACGTTCCAGACGGCCGCCTAAGCGCGTTCGATCGCCGGCAAAAAGCCGCCGATTTGTGGAGGTAATTGGGTTTGAATCCGAGTAGAGTGTTGATTCTTTTTCTATTTTTGTCACAAACTGCACATTGTCTTGACATCTTGTCGGCCAGTTGGTGCCCAAAGTGTTTGCTAAGTCTGAACATTGCCGGCAACCACAGCAACGAAGCGATGACGAGCAAATAACAACTTGCAAGTCGACAGCCACTTGGCGGCCGACAGTTTTCAAACACATGTTTGGTTTACTCGAGATAAGGCCACCTAATTGGGCCTTGCCCCGATTAAGTCGGGGAAGGGGGAGTTAAAATGTTATGCACGCGTGCCAAATTTGAAGATAAATTCTGACTGAACAGATTGGCGTGGATAGGCCTGGTCGTGGATTTGGGCCAACGGCTACTACGATGGTGATGAAATTCAAGCAGGGTAGGAGGGGGAAAAAAAACCGCGCTTACGCATGGATTATGTAACACGCACGCTCCAGGATGTATTTGACTTGGGAAGTATTTAATTATCAGGACGGAATCTGGTGGGCAGGGCGAAACGCGTTTGTTTGCGAATGTTATTTTTTTTTCTCCAACTGTGGTTTGTCTCTCCCAAAGTTTCGACAACCCTTTGATGAACAATTCGGATGAATTTCCGTTTGGCTGAAGTCTTCCATTAGCAACTGAACTCTTGACTGAACGTTTGCGTCATATTTGGTTCAGTCTCCCAAGTTTTTGGCAGCCCTTTGATCAACGTGGCCGGTATTCTCCGGAGTAAGTCCCTTACAGCAACTTAAAATGCTGAATCTTTCTTTCATGTCGGATTATCCTTAACAAGAGGTGTGCGGCCTCATGTTACGGACGGACGGACAGGCGCGTTGCTTTTTCACCTGGAGTTGGAATAATAAGTGACCGGCACAAGGGCTGAACGATTTGGGGAAAATATCTAATTGTAAATTTTTCTGACAGCTATTGCGATTTGATTTGCGATTACATTTTTTAAAGTCAAGCTTCAGTTCAATATTCACTGTGTAATAGATGTAAAACATGTGATGGAGCATTACCACATGATACCATCAAAATATGAACTGCTCTATATATTCTGATGCAAGGATGAGAACTTAAAAGATATGAATTGCTTCCAACATGTATTTATTACAAATTTTAATAGAAATAGAACAATCAAACATAAAACAATTGTTAAGTAAAAAAAAAGTTATAATAATAAAAATAAAACAATTCCAATAAGAAAGTAAGAGGACTTTTCAAATCGCTAAAAATCGCAGCCTTTGCGATTTGCTAATCGCATTGTTTCATGTTGCGATTTCGATTTGAAATCGATTAATCGTTCAGCCCTCACCGGCACTGCATTGTCAGCGGGTGCGCAATCGCAAAGTTAATGGTGACGTTCATCAGATGGAATAGTTTTTAAATCCTTTATATTAAGTTCGCTTGCTTGCTTGCGTGCGTGCGTGCTTGCTTGCTTACGACCGTGCAAATCTTTCGGTCGTTTTTTAACCCACTTCCCGTGATCCAATCGAGCTGACATTTTCCACACAGACTCGTTGTGCGAGGCAATTAATTTTCGTGAAAATTTTTTTCCAAAATTTTACACTGTTTAAGGAAAAAAAATTCAATATTTAATTACCAATTGCTTAATGCTGGCAGATAATCATCTGACCCATAGGTGGCAGCCATCTCAAGCCGGAGGACGAGAGGACTCTAGCCGCCACGCATTTGAAGGATTTAGAGTGAAAAACTTTGTTTTTACGGGTTAATTTTTTTTTATTTGGCTTTGCTGCATTTCCCCACGAACCAGCAACAGCTCTCATGATATTGTGCAGGAGGAACCCGACCTATTTTCTGCTAATGTTGTTCGACTGAGTCACAGATGCCTTCGGGGAGGGAGGAGGGGGGGGCTTGCACGAGTTGCTTTGATGCATTATTCCACACTACTAGAAATGCCCTCTGAAGAAGCTTCTCCCGTCTTAGATCCGTGCTTTCGTCCCCAGTGGAGTTATTTTTCTAGAAACTGGGGTCGGCTACATGAAACAACCCAGGCGGTTTCCACATCATCATCAGCATCGCCAGCCGTGATCAAACCACTGTCGGATGAAGTCTTCCCCGAGCCTTTGCCCTCTCTCGCGTTCCTGAGACGCGAC